AGTTGAATCATATCTCTCATCCTCATTTGGCGGCACACAGAAGTGCTTAGCTCGTCAGTGTGCCAAGTGCCTTTCTGCATGCATTAATATTGGTATGATATCTGAGGGTTGAAAAATGTGAGGAGACAGCTCTAAAGCTTATGTCTGTTACTTTATTTGAGTGGTAAGTATGCAAATGTATCTTTGTGAAACATACATACCTCATTTGCATGCACACATAGACATTTGAGTCCAAGCGCAGTTTTGTTGTAAAAACTTGGGCAGTTTGCTGACTCACAGCGCAAGATGGGTTGACATTAGGTAAATAGTCGTTAAACGCTATGTAGCTGAATATAAGTAGTTACTGATGAGCATTTTGTCAACCCCTGGTGAATGGTGCAATCAATGCATTCTTGTATGGAATGTAAATGTGTTTGTTTAAATCTAAATGAGTCAAAATAACTCCTGATCCCAGCTCAGTGCAACTTTAATGCCTCCACTTATGGTCAGTTGAACACAGTGCGTCATTCCACCCATGCTACATAGAAATTTATTGAATGAAAGGAAATGGGCTTTCACTGCAACCTTGAACTTCTCAGTTTCTCCACATCTCATCAGCCCTCAAGGTCCCCAGTGGCGATGAGCTACTGGAATCAATGTTTTTGGCCAAAACCATTACCCTTACTGGCACTAAGTGGTTGGGAACGACTGCCGCTATGATTCCTCTGAAGGCAGCTGCCTCCTCAAGTGGACAGCCATGTAATTTAAGGGAAGCCTTATGCAGCCTTGATGCCACCTCATTAGGTAAAGCTCCTTTTAAGCATTCAGTCTAACGTCTCAATTCACTGATAACTCGTTTAAACTGTGTTCTAAGTCTCATAATATATGTTAAATACTGTACAGTCAAATATTTAAGGGGATTAAGGATATCTCTGTTAATAGAGAGATATATGCAGTGGGGACGCTGGAAATACAAAGGAGTAGAATTGAATATTAGACAGAAAGTTTGCTATGCATAAAGTGCAAATTTGGTTAGACACGTTCACAGAAACACCTGACAGAGACTCTAACATCAGCTTTTGGTATTTATAAGAGTTAGCATAGATGACAATAAGCAAACATACTAAATAAAAACATCAAGATGTTATGGCAAGTTGTTAAAATAAGAGTAAAAGTACATGTTTAGCACCACACTCAACAGAGAGAGATGTAAGAAAGCGCACTGCAGTAGGACCATATAACTTTTGGTGTTCAATGCACATGACAGATTTTTCTTCCATTTACTGTTTTTTTTTTTTCCTTCCTTGCCAGTATATTTTCAGCCAAAGCCCCATATACAGTGCTGCTTTATTAAACAAACTTCAAACATCCAACTATAATAACATTTATAATACTGTAGAACTACATATAAATGTGTTTGCAGAGAACCCATTCATTATTGTTTCCAGATATTTAAAATTGACAGCAGTTTTAACATGCCGTCCACAGACTGTGACTGGCTGGGTTACAAAGTTTGCTACTGGTTTTTCCTTGTACCGAAGGCCAGCCCAAACCATGTCTTCTGACTTGTACAGACTCGAGAACTGCTATTATAACATTAGTTTAATAGTTTTAGTGTATTTTCAAACTCAGAAAATGAGATCAAACACAGGCCTGTGTGACATTGGTATGTTCTCTCTGTGGTCTATTAGAAAGTCTTTATCTAAAGAACAACAGCACTGTTAAATCTACGATGGTACAAGCTCTGCAGTACAAAGTATGGTATCAGGGTTTAACAGGATGAACTAAAATTTAAAAACTAAACTTTTACAAAGAGAAGAAGTGAGTGGTCTTGCTCTAAAATCAATACGTGAAATAGCTTCTGATTTCTAAGAGACAGACACAGTGTGACTAACCAACAAATGCTGAAAGCTACCTTTCCCAGATTTGCTGCCTCCCTATACTGTAGCTGTGGCACTGCATATATGAACAATGTACTGGTAAAAGCTACTTTATTGGTCTGATGACATTGGCCTATTATTATTATCTGCCTTTAAGTATGATAGAAGTGCCTCCCTAAACACAAGTTCTAATAAGACTTTTGCATTTAAAAGGTTCAGTATGTTTTTTTTGTTTGTTATTGTGAATCCTTTCTTATAAAGTGGGTAGATTAACCTGCCCTGACCTGGTTCCAGACCTCTATATTGATGTCCACATCTCTTTTCAGAGAAGTGAATACAATATGGCATTTTAGTCTGATAATCAGGTTACTATTCCAGCTAACTAAGAGTAAAATAGGGGTGGGTAAAAATATTGATTCATCACTGCATTGCAATATATTTTTTCCCAATTCAATATCGATTCATTAAATCCTCTGAATCGATTCAAGCCCCTGGCCAGTTGGGGCGGGGTGAGCAACACCTTTGTGTGATTTGCGTTGTACAGATGGAGGCCGCACTCGACCACACAACAACAACATGGCAACCGAAGCAGGTAGCAGCAGTGTTAAACCAGCACCTTCAACTTTAAAAGCAGACGTTTGGAGGCATTTTGGATTCCAGTGTAAACCCGGAACACAGAAAATAGACAAAAAGTTACTAGTAGTTAAACTACTTAAGCCGACACCATGCAGATGCTCTGCAGCAACCCGCGGCTAAACCTGTGGATTCAAAACAGACGCAACTCGACAGATCCTTCCTTTGCAAACTGCCACCAAAATCTGCCCGCACACATAAGATAACGGAGTCTGTGGCCGTCTTCCTATGTAAGGACCTACGACTGTACAGTGTTGTGGAAAACAGGGGTTTTAGGAAGATGGTATTCACACTCGAACTGCGATATGCCATATCAACACGCGAACACATGACGGAAGTCGCCGTCCCGAAGCTGTACACAGCGGTTTTGGAGTCGTTGAAGTATGCAATTATTTTAAAATTATCAACAGGCACTCTAATGAATTATTTGTGTAATTCTACTTATTACTGAATCGATATCGGAGCATTTAAATCAATATCGAATTGATATCGAATTGTGACCTAAAGAATCAGAATCGAATCGTGAGGTTCTTAACAATACCCAGCCCTAAAGTAAAAGCTCAAGATTTTGGTTGTTTGGACAAAAAAATATCTGTATGTACTGTATCTTCAGTCTAAAACTATGGCTGTCATTTGCCATCAGAAACCTATATTGGTGGGATGCAGGTGAGACGGAGGTAGAACACCACCATAGGACTGCATTCACTAGAAGCAGCAAATAAACTGTTGTTACCTCACTAATCAAAACTCTTGGCTACTACATTTCACTGCACTGATTTTGCGCCACCTTATACAGTAAGTATTGTTATGATTTGCAAAACCCTGCTAAGGGTATATTATTCATCACGTTGATGCCCATGACGTCACATCAAGCTTCCTCAAGTTCCTGACACAAATGCTTTATATGTAGTCCTAATGCTACGTGTCCCATTCAAATCCCAATTTGAATGTTCTCCTACTGTGTGACAAATGTGAGGGCCATTGGTCAGGTTTATTGTTCTTGCATTGATGGATTCACATTGTTTCATTTATGATCTATAACATGATTAGTTGTAGTCACGCTGCTGTTAGAAACATTGCGTTTGCTTCACTCTGTGACCTTTCTGGTGACTTAAACCACAGTAATGACTCCTGCACAAATAAATGAATGTTGATAAGCTAATTATGGTGAGCTTTTTACCCACTGTCAGTCTGCTGCATTAGTGTGTTGAATGAAGTGTTTACGTTGCAGTGTTCACAGGTTTAATGTGATAATTAATGGAGTATTACTTACACGTACTTACTTATGTGGTACTGGTGGCTATGACCGACTCCACCACTCTTAAACCCAGCCTGACTCTTACCACTGTTTTGTGTTATTGTGGAACAGAAAAATTGTGGAGGAAAGTGGTAAATAGAGAATGATGATTATACAGCACTCTAGTTCCTCTCCTTCAGAGCCTAGTGTGAGAAGTCATTTGAAAGTGACCAAGCCCCCTCAAACAGCGATTTACCAAGCCACAGGGATGAGTCTACATGAGGTGTGTCCACGGGGAGAGAAGGACAGATGGAGGCAAAGATAGAGACAGAGAGAGGATGAGGGGGAGGAGAGCTGACCCTTAATTTACTCTCTGAGCAAATTTTTAGGGAGGGTATTACAGCAGTAATACCTTAACTCCTATTGCACCCAGCCCTTTTCTTGACAGCAGCAATTTTTACATCAACACTGCATTTGTATAACCCACTCCCCTCCTCCCGTTGAAAAAGTGAGCTCCCTGCACCAAGAGTTGGGCTGTTATTAAAGCTGTTACTTCTTGCTTCATGGGCTGACACAACACAATGCTGTGTAGCCGAAAGTATGAGGCTATTAAAAAAAATATCCAAACTGACAAGGTCTTTCCTCCCTGAGCCTGTTGTTACCTTTTCTGTCTGGTCCTTTACAGGTGTAGACAAATCTGGAATGTAGCTGTATATTTAGCAGTCAGAGATTCTGCAGCAACAGTTTGAACACTACTGAGTGTTTAGACTGTAGTAGAGGCAGTACCTTGTTTGTCGTAACTGGACTTTCAATCAAAAGAGACAAAAATTAGTGCTACAGCAACATTATATATTTAATTGAACACCTCTTTTCCCCTGGCAGTGTATGTAATTAAAAGTTTCATTTGCTAATCAGACTGAACAAGGTGTTTTGAAATGTTTGTGTTGTGTTTTATTTTTCCAATCATCTTTGTCTGGTATTATTTAAGCAATCATAGAAGTATTTTGCTAGTGCGTTCAATTTTCTTTCCCAATGGATTTGGATTAATAAGATTCTAGTAAAGGCTTCAACATTCACTTTAGTTTTAGTGTTGTTTATTTATTGCGCTATGATAGCCACTTTTGAAAGTATATGTTGAAACTTCTTTTAAATTATTGTTGAAGAGTTTCCCTATTGATACTCATTCATTCTTATGATATTCTTTGTGTAAATTTGAGCAATATACCTGCCAAAGACGCATCTTCACATGTAAATGCCTCTTATTTTACCAGATCACCGATGTCCTGGCAGAACCTGTGATCAGCACCTGGAAAGTACGCCAGAGTTCACATGGAGCATAGTGGCTGACGGAGACCTGCGGGAGGAAAGAAACGAGAAAAACGAAAAGAAGGCAGGAAGTCCCCAGGGTTGGGAGGAAGGTAAGAATGAAGGTATCACATTCCCCCGTTGCCGGGAATTTCATTTTTCAACAAACTTCCTCAGTCTGCCACTTCTCAAGCTTTGATATTCTATGCGCATGTTGAACTATATAAAGAATGCATCATCCATTACTTTTAAAACACCTTTTTTAAAAGTCATCGTCAGTTGTGTTGTGCCACGCTTCTTTGGTGTTGTGCATTATGGCATACCACTCTGTTTATAAAGGCCTAGTGTGTAGGATTTAGTGCCATTTAGCAGTAAAGTTGCAGATTGCAACTAAGTGAACACTAATGCGTCTGTATTTGACAACCTAGGAATAAGTACGGACTGTGATGTGTGTAGGAGACACTACTGTGTCTGTGAAACTGTGAAACTAGTGAATAACACAGAATAACCGATCTAGAGCCAGTGTTTGATTTTCCCATTCTGGACTACTGTAGAAACATAGTGGTTCAACATGGTGGCCTCTGTAAAAGACCACCCGCTCCCTCTGTAAATAAAAATGGCTCATTCTAAGGTACCGAAAACAAAACAATTCTTATTAGTGATTATACACTAATAAAAACATACTTATAAATCTTATATTCTATTTCTACCAATAGATCCTCATAAATATTACACACCTTTTAAGCTACATACTTAACTATGTAAGTGCAGAAACTTACCTCACATACCAAAAAATTAACTAGTATAACATGTTTGCTATTGAGATATTACTTTTCATAAAGCTTTCTCAGGTAAAGAGCTGAATATAGTTTACTGAGCCAGTAGTTTGAAGCATCTTGTGGGCCCCTGCCTTCAAATCTTCCATATCCTCCAGCATCATTCATTTTCATACCTTGGAAGATGAGAAAACAGTTTCTGTCATCTTATCTCCTGAGGTGATTGTGAAATGGAGGGAGACAGAGGGGTCTATTTATTTCCTTAAATGTTTTTTTTTTTTCCCTATCATAAGGCACAAGTCTGAGACCAGATGGGTGGAGTGCTGGATGAAATTGGAAAAGTGAAATATATTGACTGCTAAGAGAAAGGAGTTAGTGTGAGTGGACTGGAGAAATGATTGATGCCAGTCCTATATCTAAGTTGTTTAAGTTGCAAATGGTGTGTGTGTGTGTGTGTGTGTGTGTGTGTGTGGGTGTGTGGGGCGCGGGCGTGGGCTCAATTTAATGGTTAAGACATAATTTGATTTCATTAATTTTATTTATTGTATATATAAAAATAGCAACAGTACATCGCCCAGCTGCACTAACAGTAACAGAGGGTCCTTTGATTTCTTTCTGTCATCATTATCAGTTCAAGGTTCAGTGTGTAACATTTAGGAAGATGTTTTCCAAGTATGCCAAATAAATTTGACATATATTTCTCTGTGCATGCAAGGTGTGCAATATTTCTATAGACTAGCAATACCTTAATAAGATGCTGTAGTTGATTGTAGAAATGTTGACACAGAGATGAAAGCTAGTTTTCATTAGAAAATGCCTTTTACCTTACCAGGTTTAGCCTTTGATTGTTGTACAAACATTTTCACATAATTTTTTAGACTTGTCTTCAAAAATAACCTTTAATGTCTTGTTAGATTTCCATACATTCTATTGATCAGTATTTATTAACTCTATAATATGATAAGGACATAAAATGTTCTCCCATTCCAGTAAGCTGGATTACTTGAGGTTAAAAGACAATGGCCATAGTAAATTAACAAGACGTGTATCTTTGCTCACCTCAAATGATTTTTACTGAGTAAATCTTAAGGATGCTAAATCCCCAAGACCAGAAAGCTTCAATTAAAAGTGTATATTATATGCAAACATATTAAAAGAGATTTTCTAAGGAGCAATGTAATAAAGGGACCTTAGGTATTTGCAGCCTTCTCTCTGACCCTGTAACAGGAATGGTAAAAGTCATTAATGTATATGTAGAAAGAAAGGAAAACGAAGCTGATCATGATTGAAGGTAGGCAACGCAGAGTACAAAGGAAATATATGTGCATAATCATGTTCAAGCCCTCAGTTAGCCACAATACAGTTGGCGTGTTTTGAATAATTGAGCTGGGCGAGCTGCTGTCTCCACACATTTCACTGGCGCTTGCAATTTAAAAGGGATGGAAATAAGGGATGAATACTTAATGGCTGTGATCTGTGGAATTGCTAGAGCTGTTTTCTACTGTATCTAACTCATCCGCTGTAAGATGTTCAACTGTAGAGCTTGTAAACAATGTTTCTTTTATCCAGAGATGCAGGTAGTTAGTGTCAAATTGTGCAGATGCAAGCTGATCAATCATTGAGGTTACCTAGATCAAGCACAAGTCCAGCTACCATAAACAAGAGGCTTATCAGTGCTATCTTACAGTCTCTATTGATAACTCTATGCTGCATATATATGGTAAAGAACACAATATGGCAGTGCCACTGCTGGAACTAAGGTTGCATTCCCACTCTGGCTGTCTACAATACTGAATTAGTCCATATCATGTAGATCCCACTGTGTGATTTGACAAATTTTTGTGATGAATGTGTGAAATTAAATGTGTCTTTAATGCACACATTGTCAGTCATTATCAAGATGTGCCTGGCCATCACCGGCATGTGACTGCAGCACACAGTGCAGCCTGCTCCTCCCCTAAGGCTGATATGTGGGGGTGGTTAGCCACATTAGCACTCTGGGTAAAGTAAGTAATGAGAACAGTATGAGGCAATGCTACCCTTGGCAAGGCAATTAGCATAAAAGACAATGCTTGACATTTAGATCAAGAAAAATCATAGCAGTTATATTGGATTGGTTTGACACATTAGCTCTTTCTGTTGTGAGAGGGCACAGTGAAGTGTTTTTCCACAGTGGCTGACTAACAGGTGGTGACACGCAGCAGCAACTGTGGAGGGAGGTAAAGCTCCAGCAATATACATCTACTCAATCAAAGCATGCAAAAACCATCTCTGCGCCAAATGCTTCTTCTGTGACACTAATCAAGTTGATTGAAAATGAGTCACCTCTGTCGAGTACAATCTAGAGAGATGAATCAGGACACTGTGGAAGAGGCGAAACAAAGAGAAAATTATTTGAATGTGTTTGGCTTCTTCTGCACTCTTCCTGTGCAGAGCGGGTCATCTCAATTCCATGTCTGCCCCCAATGTCTCCTGCCAAAGACTGTGTGAATATGATTACACATTGATTTCTCGCTCTCACACACAGAATAGAGAAGCATGAGTTGGAGCTTGGAGCTGACTGGCAGGAGGAGATATCCAGTAGGACGCTGTTTGCTGGAGCTGTTGATTTGTTTGTTTGTAATAGAGTGGCCCCAAGGCTGTCTGTCATCTGCCAACTCAGGGAGTCATCTGGATTTTCTTAGCTGGGCTAAGACAAAATGTAGAGGGAGCTCTGGCTTACAGAAGCTAATGTTCTTAACCCTACAGTGGTTTTGATGTTTGGAGTTTAGGTAAACGCTGGCAGCATTGATATCTTTTTTGCATTTACATCAGTAGCTTCACCAACTGTCACAGACCTTTAAGGAACCACATATCTGGAATGAACATGTGTCTGAAAGATGCATAAAGACAAACAAAAGCACTGAGTTTTGGCACAGGAAATGTTCTGTCCATTAATAATTTAATTCCCAAACTGGGCTGGATTTATAGTACAATAATATACGAAAAGTAAATTAATTAAATATTGTAACCATTTCAATGTGCCATCATAGACTATATAATAAAAATGGACAAAATGTGACATTGTGAAGCTCAAAGTGCGGTATCTTTGGCCGTCGCCATCTTGATTCCCGAATAATCTAAAAATGGAGCTGAGGCAGGCTGAATGAATCCTGGTTGCTGAAAACGGCCACATGTGACAGCACCTATCTGTCACTCAAAGCGACCATGCACTTAATTATGCATTGCTTTAATAAAATTTAATAAAACAGGTGAGTTATATAAAAAATTCACCCCCCATACAGTCATGGGGAAACTACCTGTAGAGACGAACTGTTTTTTGTACCAGGCTGTAAACATGTTTATTTCTGCCGTAAAGTTGGGCATTTTAATATGGGGCCTTATGCAGATTGACTCACTACTGGAACCAGCCTCAAGTGGCCATTCGAGGACCTGCAGCTTTTGTTACTTCCGTGTTGGCTTCATTTGCTAACAACGGAGGGTGCCGCTTGTGTGCCTTGAATGAAATCTACCTATGACTTTTATCTGTCCCGTCCACATTATGCTTTTGTTTGATATTCAACATGCATCACACCTAACAGAATTGAATGATTTTACAGAGAAATATATTGGCACCTAATGTTTTTATGCACCATTTCATTTTTGTACCTTGTACACGTTCCTAATTCTCATACAGAATGGTATTGAGTACTGAAATCCCATCTACAGCCCTCAGATACTAAATCTTATGAAGATAGGTAGCTCTTTCAGTGGTTGACCAGATCAATACACATACAGAAAACACCCACACATGAAGGAAAAGTAGCAATCTTTGTTTATAGCTGGCTGGCATAAGGGTTGTTTTTGGCAAACTTGGCTAGCACAATGACTTGCAGACAATTCTTCATCAGTTACTACACAGTTGTTTTGGCTCAGTCACTATATACCTGCTCTTTGGGAAGTAAGAGTAAGCAGCAACATGGGGCAAAGCAAAGGCTGCAGCTGGTGGGCACTTGAGTATAGCCGCCCCCAAACTTTAAAGTGCTTTTTTTTTTTCCAGTGCCTTTGTGAGGCCTTCTGGGAATTCCTTCCTCAGCCATTTCATAAGGACAGAGAGGCCTGGGTTGACTCTGTCCTTGCAAAGTCCTGAAGACATACATTGGTAAAGAACACTGTAGGTGATCCTTATTTATTAGAAGCTCCACAGAAAGTTTCTCAAAAGTTTGATTTAAAATGAGCCAAAATAAAACTTGTGACAGCATCGTTTCTTTCGCTCTACCTAGTGAGATTGCATCTGGACAGATCAATGGTCCACTCGTCACGCAGACACGAAAGCCATCCAGTGCCTTTTTCTGCACCCAAAACCCTTA